CCAAATTCTATTCTACTTTAAAAAATGACTCATAAAGAAGTCTCCACTTAAAGAGTATGTGTGTCCACTTTAATTGTAGGTATACACACACACACTTCTTTATACACACCAATGCTTTAAGTCGGGGGGTGGGCAAACTTTTTGGCCCGAGGGCCACATCTGAGTATGGAAATTGTATGGCGGACCATGAATGTTCACAAAATTGGGGGTTGGGGTGCGGGAGGGGGTGAGGGCTCTGGCTGGCAGTGCGGGCTCTGGGCTGGGGAGAAGGGGTTGGGGATGCAGGAGGGTGCTCTGGGCTGGTACTGAGGGGTTCGGAGGGCAGGAGGGAGAATCAGGGCTGGGGCAGGGGGCTGGGGCACGGGAGGGGGTCAGGGGTGCAGGCTCCAGGCGGCGCTTACCTCAAGCAGCTCCCAGAACCAGCAGCCTATCCCCTCTCTGGCTCCTACATGGAGCTGGAGCCAGGCAGTGCACGCTGCCCCATCGCTTGGTGTGGGGGCAATGTGCGGAGACCCCTGACTGCCCCTACGCATAGGAGCCCAAGAGGGGACATAACACTACTTCCAGGCATTGTGCAGAGCGGGGCAATCCCTGCTCCCCAGCGGGAGCTCGAGGGCCAGATTAAAAATGTCTGCAGGGCCGGATGCGGCCCCCGGGACATAGTTTGCCCACCCCTGCTTTAAGTGGACACATTTTCTAAGTCATTTTTCAAGTAGAATAGAATTTGGCTTTATAGAGCACCTATCATACACAAGCACTTTACAAAACAATGGTTTAGAAACTGGTAATGCAGTGATTCTGTGGATACATACACATAATTTAAGAGCAGCAGATATGTGTATGAGTATTACAATTTTCTTCATTTACCCATGAGCAGAAAAGCCACAATTAAATTATGAAAAATCCAGATGCTACTGGATCTACATTAATTTATTCTCTCTTTCCACCTTCCACCCATCTCTGAATTTTAAGTTTGCACTTTGTACATTCAAATATTTCACCTGTCATAAATGAATGACATAATGTGGAAATTAAATTAACATGTGCCTGATTAGGTGAGTAGAAAAATTAAAATTTACCAATGTATTTAATTAAAAAACACATTTTAGTTCTCATAGAAATATTTTTCTTCCCACTTGTTTGGATTGTAATTTAATTAATGATGTTTAATGTAGATTTTGATGAACTGATGAGGAGATCTACACTGCAGGTATTTCACTTTTTTTTTTTTTAATTATAATCACATTCTGGCTATAATCACCTTGTTAACAAAGAGAGTAAGAAAACAATTTTCTGTTCATGACAGAGAAACAATATGATTTCCTAACAGAAACAGCCCTAAAGGTAAAAGTTGTGATTCTTTAAAAAAAACCATGTAAAGTGCAAATTTGACAACTGTGTTGTATTACCAAAGTCAGAAATGAAGTTCCAAGCACAAAATTGTTTCATACCCTGCTTGATATCTGGTATTGCCAATGCTATTTACATATAATTATATAATATATTCACAGAGATAGCACTTAACTTTAATCAAACTTGGAATTATCAGGCAGTGCACACAGAATTTTGCTGTTAATGTCAGCAGTTAGCATATGTTGTTAGGACCACTAGGAAAAACAAAAGACACAAAAATAGCTTTCAGAGCAAATCTATTTTATTGTAAGAGAACTTTTGTTTTTAATTATGGCAGTTTCAAATTATTGTGGTACATGACATCTGTCCAAGAAATAGATATGTATAGTGTATATGCACACACCACACCAAAATATTCAAGAACAAAGTGGGATATTTTGTTTGAGCAGATATTGTCATCTTCAAGATTATGCAAATCTAAGAAATTCTATTCTTATATACATCCTTCTCAAAGAAAGTTAGTGTCCATGGCCAGTTATCCTTAGCATGATAAAATATTGCCTTCCATATATTCATATTTTTTCATATTGTCAGATTTAATTACTTCTTATGTACATTGGGCCTGATCCATGCCCACTAAAGTTAGCAAGAGTCTCTGAATTGACATTTATGGACTTTGAATCAGGCCCATAAATGACATTTATGTGTGTGTACACACACACAACTACTAATCATACAGTTGGCTACATGTGTTAATGTATAACAGATGCAGATATGTGCACATATATCTTTGCCTAACTATGCCTAATCAGCACATGAGAGTTGTGTGAAGACAGTTAACATAATTCCAACTCTTTTGTTCTAATATTAGAGTTATTGAATGTTTATTTCAATAATGCATTTCTGAATATATCATGTAGGTTATATTGGTCACACTTTATATTAAAGGTATATTTATGAACAATTTATAAAGGTTTAACATATGATTAATATTTGTGTTAAGCGTGTTACAAACATGAGTTATGTGTTATAGATTGTTATAAGCCATTGTTACATGCAGCCTATTGTGCTGTTCAATTCTATAATAATTATTTATTAAAACATCTATTAATCATTTATTAACTCTTTATAAAATATTTATAAAATGTACCCTTAATGTAAAGTGTGAACATAATACCTACAGTTTCTGGAGGGAGGTAATGAGTGTTGAAATTTAGAACCCTCTCACACACACACTCTCTTCTCTAAACACACACACACACACACACTCTTTCTCTCAACATGCCAAAGTATATTCGAGAACACATGGACATATCAGGTCATTAAAATCATTTAAATATTGGGGAGAATAAAAGAGTATATACCTAAAGATTATTTGGGGATAGTTTAGGTTCTTTGTAGTCCATAAACTTTTGGAATTCACTCCCATTTCCAGCACCATCATTGAAGTGATGAGTTATTTAAGGCTTGAAAAAACTGTTAAATGAATGGATATGTGTTTTCCTACCTAAAAACTGGTTTCTAACCACTGAATATTTATGGCTGTTAGTAGGATTTGTTTGGAAAGAGAAGAGCCCCAGAGATGGTTCCAGAATATAAAGCTGAATACAGTAGTGCAACACTGTCATATTGATTTGGCACATCTTACAGATACTATTTTTTCTTACATGGCTCTAAAAGTGGTGGGCTAGTAGGATCTGAACATTCTTAGTGGGCAAACTTCCTTCTACTGTTTGTGAATATAACATAAATGGTGGGAGACTGTACTATCTCCAGCTGCAATGCTATCCACCAGAAGCCATAGGTTTAGCCATAAATACGGATTTCTTTTTTTTAGCAAACGTATCCAGATAAAGTAAAGTTTAGGCAGCAAAATATGTAATTTAATGATAGCTATGAGAAAGGCAAATGAGCTATTTTCCAAGGAAGCTTTTCACATTAAAGCATTTTGTTTCTTATCAGAAGAGAGAGTATATGTTTTCCATACCTTCTCCAGAATGGACACTTTCATCTCACCACAGTACATCACAAGGCAACTAGTTTGATTAGTTAAGATGTAAGCCTCTAGTTTATGTGCTGATACTGTATGTACCTGAGCACTCCAAATCAATTTCAGCAATTAACTGCTTATGACTTTGTAGTGTAACCATCTGGCTCTCAGTTCTGAGGAGAAATTTTGTAAGAATCCTGGAAACTGCTCAACAGTAAAATGTGATAAATGAAATGGCTAATAAAGGTGTTGGCAGGAATGAAATGAAGACTTCTTGACCAGTTCATGAATCTCAAAGCTTGAATTCTAAACCCCTTGTTTCAGTGAAATATTTTACTTCTGACATCATTTGTATCTGAAATCTGATGAGCCTCTGCATTATTACACCTGCTCAGTATGCTTGAATTGTTATGCTTTTGTAATACACAGTGCAATTTAAATGTTGGGGTGGGGGGAACAAACAAAAATTGCTTTTGGGTGTTATCCAGCACTGAAATAGTGCCTTTTTTTATTTAGCTCCCTGTACATATGTTTCACACTATATGAAAAACTGTGAATCATCACAGAAGATCATAGAATTAGCGCAAACGTCCAACAGTACCTATCCCTGCAGTGAAAGTCATGTTCCAAATAGGAGAGACATGTATATTTCATAATGTAATCTAGAAAACATCTTAGAACTAAGATACCAAAGTCACTAAACTCATCACATTTCTACTTTTCATTTAAAAAACAATTATTCAAGAAATATTTATCAAGAAAGAAAGATACAGAGAAAACATGTTAATTTACCTGAAAGGCATGCTTGTATCTAAAAGGCATGAATTGCAATTTAGTGCTAAACTGTTAATTTAAATGTTTATTTAAGGATTATGTATATTTTGCTTATCACCCACATGACTAATTTGTACATGATCACTTTGAAACATAGACCATAATAAATCAAAGCTTGCATTTTGATACCTTATTTACCAAGGCTGAATTAATTTCTTGCCATGAAACTAATTCTGCAATCTAGTTCTAAATAAAATAGAAAACAACAAAAGATTTATCAGGTTGTTTCAAAAGTTGTTTCAAGTCAAATTATTTTGTCTTGCCCTCTTTCTTTAATAGAACATATCTCTTTAAAGCTTCCCCATTCCTCCCCAACCCCAACCCCTAAAGAGACTGAATTTTAAAAATATATGAAATCCTGATCTACTCAAGTTTTGCAGTATACCTTATTTATATATACTTTCCAACAGATTTTGCACAGTATCTTAATATTTGGCAGAATTGCTCTACTTGCCACCAGTTATATATATGCGTGTCATACCTATGTGTTTTAAAGCCACTTAACAAACCCTTTAATAGTCAAGCACCTGCAAGATTTCAAGGGGCAGAGAAATCTCCTTCTCCCTCCCCTCCCTTTAACATCATCTCTTGGAGACCAAAGACTTATTCACTTTTTTTAGAACTTATTGAAGTTTTCTGATTCCAAATAACAAAAGCAAAGGGAAAACAACCTGCTAATTCAGACATCAGATTTCTCATGTATGCCGCTCCAGCTTCTAAACAGACTTGATATCTTTCTATGCATTGTTTATGAATCCTGTACATAATAACAGATGCAATCACAAGATGCAATCACACACAAAAAAAGGCAAAAAAGCCTTACCTACTAGATGAAACTGCAGCAGCAGCAGCAAGAGCAGCAGCAACATGCACAGTAGCTTGTACTGAGGTAATACCTTTTCTCTCTAAATCACTGTGGCAACAAACTGCCCTTTCTGGTGTCCCCCTTCATTCACAAAGGATCTCACAGGCAAGGCAGACAGGTAGAAAACACTTTCTTACTGGAAGAGGTTGTCTCCCTTCTCAGAAATGACTGTATCTCTCTCTGTGGGTCCCTACACATTTACCCTTCAGATCAATACTGCTCTTTAGCAGCAGCTTGAGCTCAACTGCAGCTGATAGAGTCTAGCCAATTGGTATTGAGGATTCCCTTTCTGTCACTCCCTCCCTCAAAAATACACAGCATGCATTTGAAATGGTATTAGTTGTGAAAAGTAATTTTAACCCATTGGTTGAAATCTAACCTGTTCTTTTGGCAATCCCCTCAGCTTGCATTTTCTTCTTGTTTTCAGAAAATCCCTGACTGAACAAAATATTCCCAGCTGGAATCTTTAAAGCTGGTCTAGTTCCACAGTGTGAAAACTAAAAGCTCTAAAAGGGCTCGTGACTGACCAAAAAGCTACTGCTGCTCTGAAATGGTTGCAATCTATTAGGGTCCAAATATCATAAAAACTGCAGACGCATCAAACTGCTATTGGCTTATCATCAATACTGAGGTATTTTCCCCCCTCCTTCCAGCATTAATAGATTTCTGACAAGGAAACTTGTCCAAAATATGATGAGATTTTTTTCAAAGATCAAGTTCCAGGACCCTATTGCTGATTCTATCAGTGCATTTTTTTATATTTATTTACTTTGATTTTTTTAGAGCACCCAACCAAAACTCTATATGCACATTTATCAATTCCATCTACTAATATAACACAGTCTAAAACTGCTGAACCAAAGTGTAGGAATTAATCATTTTGGAGCGATATAAAAAAACGTAACCTCGTATTTGTAATCCTGAAATCAAGTGTATTCCATACGAGTACACACACAGCCATAATAAGATGTGTATGAAGAGAGACTGTTTTTGGATTGTATGGAAATATATTTTATATGCAAGATTTTTTTTTAATTCAGTCGGAGATTCTGGATGCTCAGAACTTTAGAAAATCAGGCCACTTAAGTGCAAAACTTTCAGAGCCAAACTTTACATATCCATTAAAAAAATTGGCCTATATTGAAAGACAAAAGAATCCCAAGAAACCTTAATTCTGTCCAGTAGTGCCCCTATGCAATAAACCTATCCTTATGATTATAATAGTTTAGGGTTTGTGGTCCCAGATTAGTTAAACTGATTTTTACAGTCACGTTCATTTTTTTCCCTCTCAGCTAATAAGTGTGTGATGACACAATAAGTGTGTTGACACAAGTGTGCACATGACAAAATACTCAGATGATCATGACAGTGAGAGGTTAAATGACTTTAGAATGCACAACCAAAAGGACTCAGTCCGCCTCTAAATATTCTCACCTCTCCACCCATAAGGAGAAATGAGAGTACCACCATCTGCAAAACAGTTAAGGTTTCCCCTTCTCCTGATAGGCTAATAGCAGCCACAGCTGGGATCTCTCATTCATGTTTACCAGAGGAAACAGCCCTTTCAGTCTTTCAGCTGCACTAAACACCGGTCATGAGCTGCAATGAATGAGGCATTCTCAATTACTTCCTCACATTGCTGTTTACCTAAAACATGGCCTTCAGGTTGCTGCGCAAGGTAAACAACATCCCCCTCCTTCTGGATACCCTGTCAATTTGGCCCTTAGAAAAAAAATCCCTTTCTTATCCCAAAATTGTCAGTCTGGTCAGAAATGCAGCTCAGCAGTGCCTCAACTACAGGACAGAGGGCAGGTTCAGCAACAGCAATGAAATGGCCATTGGATGCCTAGGAGGGCTGTAAATGTGGCCTATGAGAGCTAATTGGTCCCCCAATGCCCCCTCCCCCTTATTTTAGCCAGTAGGGACTAATGGAAGCAAAGAAAGCTCTCCCCTCCCCATCACATTTTCCATGTGCATTCTAAGGCACAAGGAGAGGCAGGGGCCAGGGGGTACATACGTGGCTCCAGTGTGATCAGAGTGTGAGTACTCTTACTCCCCGTGTCGCCTCAGGACTAGTCATCTCCCTGTCAATTTGACCAAACTCTACACCCACCATCACGGACATGGGAGGAGGAGGGTTATTGTCTAAATTTAATATGTGTCCTATGCCTCAGTGTGCAACCTCCTCAGCAGCACTGTTCTTGTTGTATTTGACAGTGGTAATATGGCACCATGCAAAACAGGCCACCTCATGACTATGTTGACTACTAGAGCCATTAATTTGTCCTTCTGCAATGTCCAGAAATGTGTTCTTCTGAAACAAACACAAATGAAGTTGAAGTATTTGATGTGAAGAAAGCCCTGTGTGTCATGATAAACTCAAATAACTCCAGGGGACCCAACAAGCCAAACAATTTCCTTTCCCGTCCATCATGTGAATAAGGCATGAAAGTGTGTGCAGCTGACTGCACTGGAGAAGTGTAGTGAGGAGTAGAGTTTATGGTCTAGCATTTACACAGTCTGCGTGAGATCATACATAAGTATTATTTTCAGCATAATTGTCTCCATTTGATGAGGTTGGGGGAAACATGGTTATACAGTTTCACAATATTGCAAGATACCTGGGTGCCCTTCAAAAGTTCATTCCAGTTCTACAGATGGTATCAGCTCCAGGGATATTTCCTATACATAAAATGGGGAATATCACCACCAAAACTGGTATCTCTAGAACCAGTGGGAGCATTTTAAGTGCACCTACTGCATGTTGGAGCTTGTTTGAGCTATTATTTCTTTGTGGTTATATTAAAGAGTTTGGAGGTTGCAAACAAAAACAAATCTTATAAGGTAGACTAATAACACCATGTTACTGAAAATATTACCACTACTTGCCATGTAATAAAATTATATTTTTAGTTCAATCTCAACTTATGCTCCATGCATCAATCGTTGCAGTGAATGTTTATTTTTAAAATCAGATTTACACTGATTTTTAAAAATCTTTCATTGAAGTTTACTTCAATTCTCAAAAAACATGTAGCACCAACAGACAATTATTAATTATAAATTATTTGTATTATAGTAGCACCTAAAGGGTTCATTCAGGGACTGAAGTCCCATTATACAAAGTACTGTATAGTCAGTCCCTGCCCCAATGAATTTACACTACATATGAGATAAGGTGGATGCAGTAAACTGATGGGAGATCCTAAGGTAAAATGTAGATGATTATGCTAAATATAATAAACATTAGTCACAGCATACAACTGCACAGCCATTGTTGAGTGATTTGCTGGCAGGCATCACTCTTTCAGGGACATAGAGGTAGAAAGGAGGTGGAAGTGTTTTTTAAAGCCTACATCTATCTCTTCCGTTTAATTTCTCACCACAAGAATTACTTCTTATGTCTTGCTGATACATCCAGAAAACCGAACATCATTCTGGGATGTATTAGCAGGAATGTTGTAAACAAGACACAAGAAATAATTCTTCTCCTCTACTCCATGCTGATAAGGCCTCAGCTGCAGTATTGTGTCCAAGTCTGGGCACCACATTTCAGGAAAGATGTGGACAAATTGGAGAAAATCCAGAGAAGAGCAACAAAAATGATTAAAGGTCTAGAAAACATGACCTATGAGGGAAGATTGAAAAAGATGGATTTGTGTAGTCTGGAGAAGAGAAGACTGAGAGGGGACCATGATAACACTTTTCAAGTATATAAAATGTTGTTACAAGGAAGAGGGTGAAAAATTATTCTTGTTAAACTCTGAGGAGAGGACAAGAAGCAATGGGCTTAAATTGCAGTAAGGGCGGTTTAGGCACCCACTTCCCCAGATTGCCTGCCCTATTTCTGGGAAGTTAAACATGAAAAGGCTTCCCCTGAAACATGCCCCTCCTACTGCTGCTCATCTCTGTTTAATCCGAAGGACTCAACCATTTTGTCTCGCTCTCACCCAACTCCCACCATCTAACTATTGAGCCATCCCATTTAATAAAATTTAATACTTGATGTAGACATGGAAACAATGAAACACAGACAACATAACATGGTTAACCACAAAGGCCGTAACTTTATCGTCAGCTGACACCAACTGGGTAACCACCCCAAAACTGCTCAGCAGTGTTGTTCCAATGTGGATCTCAACTGGTACCAATGACCCCCAATGCACAATCAACCTGAGGGTGAGCATGAAGGTCATCCAACCTGTACACCTTCAACCTGCCTGACTGGAAACCCCTCCCTTCCTGCATGCCACAGATATGAGAGATGGCATGAGGGCAGATGCAAGATGTGCAAGACATACATGCAATCCCCTCATCATGCCATGTGACTACGTAGGACCCATATCCAAGCAGCCCAGTGGTTTATGGGACCATTCTTTACCTCCCAACTGCACTGGAACCAGCCAAAGCTTCAAAAACTATAATTTAAATATCCCCAGAGCAGTGGGTCTCCCATTCCATTCCAACTGGGTGACTCTCTTTTTGTTCTATGTACAGTGCCTTAGTCTTGGTGCATGATTAGGGCTCTAGGGTGCTACAATAATATAAATAAACAAATGCAAATAATGGTAATAATAATGAGAAAACTCAACACAGCAGCTAGACAGTTTTGGCAGACCCTCCAGACCCCAAAACTGTTGATCAGCTGAGCCCCCTAACTCACAGGAGATATAGCGACCAGCTGAAGGGTAGGACTGAAGCATGAAACTGACAATGGCTACTCTGCCCAAGAAGCAAACTGTATCACCCCGTTGCCCAACACCACCACCAGATGGGAGCCAGTCACCTGGTCTCACATCACCCCCACTACCCAATGACAGGGGAAATGGGCAGGACAAGCTGCAGAGCTGGGACCTAGATGCACCATAGGCCTCCTACCCTGCATGCCATGCAAAACAAGGAAGGGAGACTAAAAGTGAAGCAGCAGCCCCCCACATGCCGGTTGTGAAGAAGGGAAGGGAAAGGAAAAGGAGGGATCACGTAAAACATAGCATAACTTGCTCTCTGCTGGGGTCTCCCACTACATTGGGGGGTTTGCCACTCCTCTCAGCCCCAACAACCTCTTCCCCACAGTTAGTAGGAGCAGCATTTTTCTTCCTTACTTTTTTTTGGTCACAATTTCAAAATATTCATTTTTTTCTCAATCAGCTCTAGTAGTAAGCACTACATCCAGCAGTCAGTGTTTGAAGGATTGGGCCCTTAGGTACACATCAGGGAAGCAACAGATGTG